TCATTTGCAAGAGAAGCTTGAGTGACTCTTAGAAGATTGTAATAAAAAAATAGATTGAAAAATAATTGAAAGAAGGTTGAAGTAGCCATGTCATTACTTACAAAGAACTAAAGGCAAAAGAATAAAAATATTATAAGAAATGTAACGCCTAAAGTAAAGATTTCAAGTGACAACCCCATTTTTATACTTCCAAAGTTTAATGATACAACTATAAATGAGCTAATAATAGGCATTTGAAAATTAAAAATCAAATTAGCTAAGCTAAAAGAATATAGTGAGTTATTAGAGGATTTAGCAAAGCAATTATAGAGATCTAAATTGAAACAAAATATGTAACAGATCTCTTCTAAGATGTATGTGATATAATAGTTTTTCTCATATACAAATAGGATGTGAAGAATTCACCAAAGTATTGAATAATGGCTTTGTATTTTATTTTTAAAAAAAAAAACAAAAACAAAAATTAAAATTAAAAAAAAAATAAAAAGACTATTTGAATCAAACTTTTATAAAAATAGTATAAAAGCATTGAGGATTTATACAATAGAAGCAAAAGCATATAAATTAATTATTGAAGTACTGAAAGAAATAAGTATATTATAGCCAAATATTATGAAATATGTAGAGAATGGAAAATACACTAGTCATATATTACAAGATATTGGCATGTCTATTTGACAAACTACAAATAAGAGTGATGCAATTGATGTTTCATTAATTCATGCTTATATTACAAGAAGCCAATATGAGGTAGCGGTAGAGGAAAAATACAAGAGATATGATAGAAATAAAGGCACCAAAGAGTGCATGAACCATTGTAATTAGTAGAATACATGGATATATCTAAACAATCTTTAAAGATGATATTTTATAGCTTATAGAGATTATTATGATTTTTTAGTTGTGTTTTTATAATTATATTGTATAAAAATCCTTGGATTAGATAAGCACGATGTCTAAATTCTAAAAAAAAATTCGTTTTTGCTAAAAACTAATTGACAAAAAGTAGATTTTTTAGAATATCTAACAAATATACAATGTCATTGATTATTTGTATTTCTTTAGAAGGAAGCTAGATACTTCTCTAATACTAAGTACATCATAGCTATATCTTCATGCCAATGTAATTTTAGTGGTCTCCTTGATTGTGGTAATAAAAAAATTAATTTTATCCTTTTAACTTGATATAAAGTATCTAAATCTAGATACCAAGGTATAAGCTATTGAATTAATCTCAATAAAAGAAGCTTCTATTACTTAAAATGGTGATAGTTCTTCTTTGATAATATCTTCTTTATCATATTCAAGTGAATTAATAAATTAGTCTTCACCTAACTATTTTATAATATTGTTAATGTGGCTTCAAAATAATTTGTTTTGATGTTAAGACTAGAATTGGAATTCCATGGCTTCTAGTTTTTTCATCATGGATATAATGACGTCTTTCATAGTGCTTATCTTTGCTTCTTTAGAATGCAAGCTATTCAATATATATTATCTTTTTTGGTTGTTGAATAACATGACTTTATTTTATATTAATATTTTTTTAATATCGAATTTTAACTTGTAATATAATTTAATATTGTATTGTGAAAATACAAATATTTAAAATCTTTAAAATATATATTTGATCAATGAAGAATATAGCCAATTAATGTATTAATTTTACAATCAACATGTAAATATTTGTTATAAAATATAAATTTATGATTATAATATTATACTATACTATTAATAATTAGAGCAAACAATCTATTATCATTTATTTTATTCATATGTTGTATCTATATTCTATCAAGTATTTATCTTTTAAATTTTTAAAATAATTTTATATACAAATACAACTCTCAACTTGGTATAGACAACCACCACTAACAATGACAACACCAACCTTTTAGTGGCCAATCATATACAAAATGATATTAAAATAACAAAATCTTTCATTAAACAATTCACAAATTATTCATTGATATGTTCAAATCTAAATTCCTACAACATTTCATGGATTATGTTATTGACTAATTGTTAAAAAAATAAAATAAAATAAAAATAAAAACATAATTATTCTCTATCAATTAATGTAGCCATTGATATGACTAAAATTTTAAGAAGAAGATTAAAATACTTCTTAAGCTTTTGGATTTTCTTATACTAATCTATATAAGTCTTAGGAATGTAAAAAAGAAGCCAAGGTTGGATTATAAAATAAATTAAAACAATATATATGTAATAGTTTCATATATCTTTGTTATTTAAAATCCACTAGAAATATTGTTGTATCAAATTTGACATTGTTTCAAAAGATATAATACCTTCATTATTACTCTTAATAATTTACATTGAAAAATTTAATTACAAATCAAGTCAATAGGAGAGGGTTCTTACAAATTCTTATTGCTATTCAAATAGGTTATAATATTAATATATTTTTAATGTGTATCTTGTATTTAAAATGATCATATTTATGTTTTATTTCATTCATGTACATGCCAATTTAGTAGGACTAATATCAAATAATTATTTATATATGTATATCACATTCCACTAATAAAATAATTAAAAAATGTATATATAAAAGAAAATCTTGAAATTATTGTAATCTATAACTTTTGTAGTTTTTGGTTTTATTTTCTTAAAAGTAGAATATATAATTTTTCAACTCTATACAAGATTTATTTATAATACATTAGTTTTTTTAAAAAAAAATTGCTCTTATTCTTTCAACTTATTTGTTTATGTGTATCTAAGTTAAAATTATATTTAGATTAGTTCAAAAAAATATACATTATAATATGTTAATTTGTAAAGTTTGAAATAGTTAAAAATATATTATAATATCAACATTATTAGGAGAAATTATAGAAGAAGTTGGTATCAATTCAAGTTAGTTTTAATAATTGGTTTTGTGAGGCTTAATAATAGAAGTAGATTTTCTTTAAAAATATTTCAATTACATGTGACTTTATAAAATTGTACTATTTTGTAGAAATATAGTAGCTTACATTATGTGCGTCAAACTAAAGAGTAAGTTGTGGAAAATAAAATTGACTTTGTTACTAATGATGGCTAATTTGAGTAGAAATATATGTAGTAATTCTAAGGCCAAATTAGTTAAGATAATATCAAAGAAAGTGATCATATTGACAAGATTGATGTATTAAGTTGGATTATTTAACATAAAAAAATAGAACTGGAAGATAAATAGTGCTTCGATTTAATTATGCATTGAAGATATCAAATAGCATAATTATACAAAAGTTTTTTCATTTTTTTTAATTTAATGCCAAATAAGTTTTTAAATAATTCTAAATGGAATGAAAATTCCACCAGCATGTGTGGAACTAAGTTGAGAAAAAATAAGTTTTTATTCAGTTTTGAATATTTTAACAATTATTGATTTTTAGCCTAAAATCATTCTATTTTTGTATAGTATTAGAATAATTTTGGATCATTTTAATATTTTGAAAATAAGATCTTTGATTGCCTATATTTTAAAAACATGGAACCTTGTAAAAAAAATTCAAGTAGTTATTCTGTTACTATACATTTTGTTTGTACAATCAAATAAAAAAATAACGACACCCCCAATCACAAGTAAACATGAATTATAGTTTTAGATTCTGAACAGTCGTAAAGTACACATACAAAATAATAAACATATAAATAAATTTCTGTGCATGACAAGACAAAAGTCAGTTTTTCTAGTTCCTGTACCACTAATGTCACAAAACAGCTATAAAAATAGTTTTTTTTTTATTTATGGCTAAATTTGAGTGTGTGTATATATACTGTGTACCTGTGAAAAATATTACATGTTATTCCCACTAATCAATGCATCTAGCATACCCCAAATATGTCAACAGAAAAAACGAAAAGAAAGAGACATGCAAAAAAAGAATTTTTTTGTATGGATTTGCAAAGAGAAGTCGCCGAACAGGAAATCAACTATAAATAATGGCCCCAATCCACTAGTGGGTCAACGAATTTCACCAGGAGAAGTACCAAGAATTCACTTCCCACTTTCTTCATGCAGCAGGTCGAAACCCTAAAATAATGAAAACACGCGGAGAGCCAAGCAAGTTCACATCATGCTTCACCCCACCTTCCCACTTTGTGGCCCCCCCCCACCCCAACATAGATTCTCCATTTGCTTTATCAAACAATTGATTACTTTAATTAGTATAACAACTTGGAACTAAGCTGCGTGGAAAGATGAATGAGCACCCCATGATTTGAACATATAACTCATCCTTGTTCCCGACGACCAGGGGAACGCCAAGACCTTCAACAGTGAAGCTTTATTAAGATTCGGGAGGACGTACAGGGTTTTTTACGGGTCGACGGCGTCGATAGGCGGAGGAGGACGAGGAGGAGGACGAGGTCCGAAGTACAGAAAGACGACGGATGGAGCAACCCAGCATTGCACCGGCGAAGTTCGAGTCAAATCTGTAACAGTTCATCGCCATTGTTTACAGCGTAGATGTCTCGGTCTTCGTAGCTGGCGTGTTCCGACAATGCGGATGAATGCGGTCTTGAACGGAAGCGGAGATCACCGAGCTGGATTTCTGCTCGGGGTGCTGTTGGAATGGATTGCGCATAGTGGTGGGAGATTCGAAAGAGAATTATGTTCTCCTCGTGATTCGTTATCCATGTGCGATATTTTTCACCTGCCAGGCATTAGTCGTGTGGGATCCTCAAGGGAGCCGGAATAACACCCCCTGGCCTGGTGGATAGCGGTGAGCACGGTGCCTTTAGGGATCCGTTGATAGGCGTGTGTCGCGAATAGCGCCAGAGCTCTGCAGAAAGTGCGGGTGATTATGACAAAAATAACAGGAAAGTCGCGTGGGGTCGGCGGAGCCTCGCCAGAGAAGTGCCTATCCCTGCTTTCTATCTTCGTTGCTCGTACAGTGCTTGGGTTGTCAGCATCTGTGTCTACGGAATCCCTTTTTATAGATTGTTTTTCCACTTGCGCCATCCATGAACCCGGACCACGCCACTCCGATTCCTCTCAAAATGTCCGGTTCGCGCAGGATTCTTTCCGTAGTAGTTGTAAGACACTGTGCTTCATGCAGGGAATGCTATGAAGGACTTGATGGAATAAGTAGGAGGTCTGCGTCTGTGTGGGCTCAGTCACAGGGGATTAGGGGAGGAGCTCAATGGCTACGCCGGATAGCTCAGGGGGTGCATTCGATCTTGCGAAATGGATAAACGGTCTGGTGGCACACTGGGGGAGTGTGGCGGTCGCTGTGGTTGCGGCAGCTGTGATTGCGAAGTTCATATTCAATTCGACGGTGGGACGCAGGAAGCTTCCACCAGGCCCGGCGCCATGGCCAATTCTTGGCAACATAGCCTCTCTAGCTGGCCTCCCTCATCGATCTCTGGAGAAATTGGCGCGTAAATATGGAAGTCTCATGTACCTTCGTCTTGGGTAGGCAATGGTCGTTTCCTGATGCATGATGTGCCTTGTTTTCATACGGATTTGCATTGCTTCGGAGGGTATGCGTTTTGTATTGTGACCGTCTTGAGAAGGCTCGTGAGATTCTTGGTGCCTGTGCTCTATCGCAGAGAGGTTCCTTGCATAGTGATTTCTTCTGCGGATGTCGCCAAACAACTGTTCAAGACGCACGACATCCTATTTTCGAACCGTCCGGGTGGTTGCTTCTTTGAACAGCTAACAGAGTACAGAAACATCACGGCGTCACGTTATGGCCCACACTGGCGACATTTGAGGAAGACGTGCGTTCATGAGTTGTTCACGCAGAAGCGATTGGAAGCATACCAGGCAACCCGGCTCGAGGAGATCAGCATTTCCATCAAGGAGCTCTTCGAGGAATCGGATAAGAAAGGCCCCGTTGATCTTCACGCATGGCTGCACAGGTTGCTGTTCAACAACTTGACGCGTGTGATCATGAACAACAGGTATACTAGCCCTACCCTGTGTTCCGTGTATAGGTTGTGGGTGATAAGCCTTGGTAGGTGACCTGGCGACATTGTATTTTGCAGTTGATGATCTCTCTTTCCAGTAAGTTTTGATTATACAAAATGGCGCCTCTTGGTTGCGATCATAACCAGCATTATCGAATCGGAGTGTTCATTGTTCGGTTATTGAGCTTTACGAGCGGGGTTTGCTAAATGAGGTTTGCCCGAAGCATGTACACGTCTGCCACTGCCCTGTTATCATGCTTACTTGGGCAATGATCCTAGGGCCTTTCTATCCTCTCGAATTGGATTTTTGGTCACTGCAGGTATTTAGGGTGGTATTGCAGAAATTGGAAGTTGGAGTGTTCTTCTTTGTACTGAAGTGAGACAAATCGTTGGATTTGAACAGGTACTTCGGGACAGATGAGAAAGGAATGAAAGATGCAATGGACTTCAATAATGTGACCGCCCTAATGTTCTCCCAGGCGGGAGATGTGGTCATAAGTGATTTTCTCCCCTACTTGGGATTCCTCACTAGATTGCAAGGTAAACCACTCCTTTACCGTAAGACCAGGGAAATTGTTTTGGAAATGATGAGGAGAATGACCAACTTCGATGAGCGTAAGAAACTCCATGCCGAGGGACGAAGTACAGGAGAGCCTGAGGATTTTGTGGACGTATTGCTGTCATCAACACTATCTGATGGCACTACTCCTCTCCCTGATGACATCTGCCTAATGTTGCTCATGGTAAGATTCTTTGCTCAATTTTCCCCCGGCTTGTCACTCGTATTTCTGAATTTTTACTTTTTCATTGGCATTTCCAGTGCATTTGATGGTATTATGATGTGAGTTTTTACTGGGCAGGGAAAGTGAAGAGAAAGATCGTCTGAAGTTTCTGGGTTTCTTTATGTCGGATATTGGATAATGTGATCTGATGCATTGTACTACTCGGTGATGTACAGGACGTCCTTGTCGCTGGTACTGATACAAGTGCGACCACAGTTGAGTGGACCATCACCGAGCTTCTTCGACACCCTGAGGCGTATAAACGAGTACGTGAAGAATTGAACTCTGTTGTTGGATCTGATCAGCTTGTCAAGGAAGAACACCTTGAACACCTCCCTTACCTCAATGCAGTTCTGCAAGAGTCCTTCCGTCTCCATCCAGCAACTCCGTTGGGTCTCCCTCGTGAGTCAAGCGAAGCTTTTGAGTTCCTTGGATATAGTCTTCCCGCTGGTACTCGTCTCTTTGTCAACCAATGGGCAATCCATAGAGACCCTGCTGTCTACGAGCAACCAGAGGAGTTCAACCCTGAGCGATTTTTGGGAAGAGAAGCGCTCAAATTTATTGGTGACACTCAGTTCCAATTAGTCCCCTTCGGATCTGGGAGACGGAACTGTGCAGGACTGCCCATGGCTGTAATTGTTATTCCTTTGGTGCTGGCCCACCTCCTGCACAGCGTGGAGTTTTCTTTGCCAGACGGCCAACAACCCAAGGACTTGGACATGACCGAAACGTTTGGTGTTGCTGCTCCTAAGGCATCACCCTTGATGATTTATGCTACACCCAGAGAGTCCGCCGCTTTGTACTAAAACTTGTTGACATTGAGAATGATGTGAGATGTCGATGGAATCTTTTCAAACTGTACCAAAATTTCCTGTAATTACTTGACATGGAACAAGTTCGTAGGTTTTGCAGAGTGATCGCGATGTGAGTCTTTCCATCACGTATTAGAATGAGTTTCTGAATGTACCTTGATGCACAAGAAAGTGATCTTGCTCATTGGTGGACAGCAGACTGTTGCAGTGCAATTTGATTTCTCATCATCGTGTTAACGCAAGAACTCTGGAACGAATTCATAGTTTCAGGTCAGAAGAAGTTCGGAAGGAACTTTCATGTAAACAAGGTTATGTGAGGATCTGATTAATGTTTATTAAGCGCAGTATAATTGACAATAAGAAGTAGAGTGGCAAGGGAAATAAGGTAATTTAAAAGACATAAATAATATTTTTTTCTCCTGAACAAGTTTAATTCTTGTAGACATGATTTTTTTAATGTGGAAATTTATAAATTGTTATGTAGAAATGTTGTTGGTGGAAGTATTCAATGTTTTAATTATACAAGCTAAGAAACTTTTTTTTTATTATTTTATTTTTATTTTATTTATGTATATTTTAAGCATGTGAAATAATTGTAAAGAATGTAGTCATTATATTCTGAAGTTATACAAAAGTTGTATAAAATATTTCGTACCAAGCAAGACCACATACTACTTTGATACAACAGAAAAACTTAAGACTATATGTGTGTTTAATGAAACGTTAAAAATGTAAATCAATATAATTTCTGTTGCTATATGATATTATTTCATATGCGATATATTATAAATATCCTGCTTTACATGATATTAAATTAGAGAATTAAAAAAAATAAAATGTTAAAATCTATAGAGTTTTTTTTTTTTTTTTTTTTTTTTTTTTAAATCTCAAGACATATGAATCTTTTAATGATAAATTTGACTTTTTATTAATTACGATAGCAAAACATAATTACAAATGTTGGATCTAAACATGATTTTATTTTTATAAACAAAAATCAAACAGAAAAAGTGAAAGATGAATATGTCATTGTTGCTTCAAAAATATATACAACACTTTTAAATTAACAATAAAACATAGGCCGTGACACCAATTTGCACTAATTTTCTATTCATTATTTTATTTCACGTCATCCTCCAATTTGAGATCTAGTGATGAAAAATACCACAGTACATCCATCGATTTCGTTATTTTGAAGCTGCAGGGCTCGGAAAGTTACAGCAGGCGGCCATAGGAGCTGTATGGCCTTGAGGCAATTCAATATAGAGTTCTATGTACCGGGATAGCGGTGACCGGTGGGTATCCATGCCACCCGGTTTCGGCCTGTACCGAGACTTTACTATTTGAAAGTCTTCTTGCTTCATGCATCCCTATGGATTAGGGTTTCCCGATAGCCACTCTGCGTCGCACCGAATTGGAGTTAGGAGCGGTTTCTTGGAGCGTCCTGAATTGGGAAGAGACATGTGAAGCGCTTGCGAGGGATTTTTCTGTGCAGTGAGAATAAGTGCTGGATTGGAGTTGTGGAATTGCGGTGGTGGTGTGGAACCCTAGTGCGGGGATAGTTTGGGGCTTGGAGCAATGGATGCGCTTAAGGCGGAGCTGGAACGGAAGCGAAAGGCTACGAGCGAAGTTTCTAAAGGGAGGAAGTTCGTGAGGAGAGGGGAGATTGACCAGCGGGAGTTGGAAAGGAAGAAGGAACAAGAGAAGAAGGAGCTTCTGGAGAAAGCGAAGAAGAAAGCCGCGCCTGGGACGCAGGATTCCTCTGCGGCTGGCACGGATGCGAGTGTGTCGGCACCTGCAGCGGCGAAGCTGTCGTCGAAATCGAAGGAGGTTGGTAGTGAGGAGGAGACGTTGGACGAGTTGGAGCTGCCGAGGGCGGAAGTGATTAGGAGATTGCGGTACTTGAAGCAACCGGTGACGTTGTTTGGGGAAGATGATGACGATCGGCTTGCCCGGCTGAAAGCTTTGTTGAAGGCTGGGATGACCGACCCAGACAGCGAGCTGATGGAGGGGCAGCGTAATGACTTTCTGGTGGATATGGCTGAGCTTCGAAAACGGGAAAAGCATGGGCGGTTGGAGCCCCGGAAGGAGAAGAACAAGGAGAAGGACGGCGGTGACGACGGTGATAGGGACGGTGGTGGAGGTGGCGAACAGAACATTACTGGGGATGGTGGTTTTTCTTCTGGCATTGATAATGACAAGGACGTGAAGGTACATATAATTTGTAAACACACACAGAAGCATTTGAAGTGGAGGCGAAATCCAGACTTTCTCGATTTTTTTTACATGAGAATCTTGTTTAGAAGCATGTGGTTTTATAAGTAAGCAAAATTTAGGGCTTATTTTGCGTTACAAGAGATGATGGTTTGGCTTTACGTGTGACAAGAGGGTCTTGATTGCAGTAAACTGGTCATTTCAACTCAAATTCATCATTCGTGCAAAAATCTGTTATGTGTCGCAGAGGTTGAAGGCTAACTTTGACGAGTTGTCGGACGAAGACAAGATTCTGGTGTTCTTCAAACGATTGCTTCTGGAGTGGGAGCAGGAGTTGGAAAACCGGCCAGAAGCTGAGCAAAGAACTGGACGAGGCAAGTCAAGTGTGGCGACTTTCAAGCAATGTGCTCGATATCTCAAGCCCCTTTTCAAGATGTGCCGCAAAAAAGTAAGTGCCCTTCCTCTGTTAATGAATCTTCTCTTATCTTCATGGGCTTGGTCACCTAAACTAATGGCCTTATTTCAGGGGTGATTCAAGTTTGTAATTTCCTATCATTTATACTTCTGTGTAGCTCTCTTCTCAAGGTTGTGTCTCGTATTTTCAAAATGGTCAAGACATGTGTAGAAGCGTTGAAGTGAAAGCATCACGTTGCTTAGAGCATGCATGTTAGTGTTTACATCATATGCCGGAATGTCAGAACGTGGGAAGAGCACTTCTGTCTAGAGTGGCATTTTGAGGGTTTAACTTTGAAACTTATGTTTCTACAGATTCTGCCTGATGATATTCGAACAGCTCTGATGATTATAGTTAAAAATTGCATGGAGCGAGATTATCTTACAGCTATGGATCAGTACATTAAACTTGCCATTGGAAATGCACCGTGGCCCATTGGAGTGACTATGGTGGGTATTCACGAACGTTCGGCTCGTGAAAAGATTTACACCAACAGTGTTGCACATATTATGAACGACGAGACCACAAGAAAGTATCTGCAATCAATTAAGAGGTTAATGACCCTATGTCAGCGGCGGTATCCATCTATGCCTTCCAAGTCCGTGGAGTTTAACAGCCTTGCAAACGGAAGCGACCTCAAATCTTTGCTGACAGAAGAAAAAAACAAGACAGGTAGTGTTGCGGCTGAAGAGAGGTTACGACTTCTGGCTGCTAGGGATGAAGACAGGTAGTCATTAGCCCCTCTTTGTACCACTATAAGGGTAGCTTAGTTTTGAAGTGTACATGAAAGGTAGCACCGTCTGTTCATTGGGTATGTCTGAAGTTATAGGATAGGAAGGAGTTCAGGATTCCCATCATCCATACTTGCAGGTTCTGGAAAGTATGGATTGATTATTAGGTCAGAGAAGAATCCAAGTATTGAGAAACATCAGATTTGGCGGTTTGAATTTAACTCGTAGCACATGTCAGGTTTATCTTTTGAATTTCAAAGTTAGTACATGCCTGGGAACAGATAGTTTTGCCGAATTGTTACAACACTATCATCAACAAATATCTGAAATCTGTATGGCTTGCACACCAACTTGTCCTCCATGGTGGCAAAGATGATTTGGTGATGATATTTTCCTATGGGCACCTGACGCAGAGTCTGATGATAAGAAGAGTGTATGCCACATAGTTGAACGAAACTATCTTCTACAACTACTTCCAGACTCTGTTTCCTAATGGAAGCATGTTAGTTTAGAAGAGAGTTGATCATCTCTCTTGCACCCACTGCCCAATCATATACTGCTTATGTGGTTCAGTTAGTGAGGTTGGCAAGCAAATTCACTTAATACCCACTGTGCAGTGTATGCTTCTCAGTTAACGAATAATTACTTTCATACAGTATTCTGTTATTACGAATGTTTAGAGTATGTGTAATAAAATATTTTGTTGAATATAAAGCTTCTCAGTCTTGTTTAAAAGTCACCATATTTGACTTAAACCGTACTCAAGCTTACAAAATTAACCCATTTTTCTAAAAAAATACTTCACCAAAAGAAACTTAAATCATGTTTACTATCATTATATATCATCTTTCCTGTTATAACCTGATGGAAAATATGTTCATGCAAATTTGGATACGTGAATGTTTTTGAAATTTAAATCATTGGGAAGTTTTATTAAAACAGATAGCTAGGAAGATGTTCTGCATTAACAATAATCTAAGAAATTAAATTTGAACTTTGTTACATGGGATTCTCTAGAAAAATTCATCGCAGGAACGTCTGGATTTACCAGGGTTACTAATGAAAAAATATTAGCATTGATCAGTTTACTGCAATACCCAACTTTACATCGATGTTTTACTGTTCATACACCAGCTACAGAACTGAGCAGTGACTGTTCCTATACTATGGAAGGGTGCATTCCGCATTGGTAGAAGGAAGACAAAATCAGGAGAATGGTAAAGAAAATGATGAATAGAAACTTTACCCTTCTGCATTGGCAGAAAAAAATAAGAATGTTTATACATAACCATATAGCACGTCGTCAAGTTAGGTTCACGCCTTGGCAGATGGAAAATTGTGTAATCTAGTTATATCCTTTCCCAGAGCTGATACTCACCCTTGTCTACACATCTGTCCCAGCTTCCTGGCAGATTGTTTTGTTTCGATGGGTTCCAGTCAAGGTGACCGATTTTCATGACTAGGTTCTCCCCTATTTGAGCAGCATATCCTTCAAAATTTGCTTGAAATATTTTTACTGGGCTCCGACAATGCACACCAGTCCGTGTCCTTACAGCGATAAGCTCCGCTATTTGATCATGCAGCCCAAAGTCGTAGAAGTGGTCGTGGAAAATCACAGGCTGCAAAGCAGACAAGAAACCAGAGTCTGAAAATATGAGATGACTGAGAACTTCATTTTAGTACATCAGCAGAAGTTATCTTGGCATTCAAACAAACAAAACTGTTGAGATTCGCAGACTTCAGAAACTGAATCATAAGTTAAGGTTGAAGGTGACCGGTTTTCTTACTGTGCCAGGGTGTGTTAAGATGTACGCATAACCCATCATTAGCTTGTCGCGAGGGAATGGCCAATGACCCTGAAAACAGTAACGTATGGCACTATCAGGGTCATGTCAAGTACTCAAGGACGACGATTGTAGTGGTTTGTAGCATACAGGACTAAAATTATCTAACTAGATACTTACGGTTACCAAATAGATCAAGTCTAGAATGGTAGATAGAGTGCAAACCTGCGTTGATCCGGTGTCATGGTTCTCAAGGAACGTGACTGCACGAGAAGGCCACCAGCCCATCACTCCGGGTGGTTTCCCTTGAGGATCTATCAATCTCCAGAATTCACCATGAAGTGCTGAATGTAAAATGCCCTGTAAAAGATGAAGGAGTTTAGTGCAATAGCTGAACAGGATGGTTTTATGATCCCTCTTATCAGTTCGTGCACCCTTGATACGAGTCACGGTGATTCTCGCGCATTATAAACAAGTCACATTAAAAGGTTAGCGAAAAACTACGAAATTAAGTACAGTGAGTCAAACAAGGCAGCAGCATTTGACTTACCTTAGTTGTCACATCAAACGCTGAAGATGTACCACCAGTTGCGTTAATCCAGTTTACAATTCTCTGTCTATGAGCATCTGCACTCAAATCATAGTTGACGATGAGTGAAACGGCAGTGAATACATCGTAGCGTGACATTACCAGAACATTGACGGAGGGATTAAAAGATATAAAAACTGCCTAGTAACAAATAGCAACGCATAGGTTTATGAGTAAATAAGCAACTTGATAGCGCTAGAATCCTGAACCTTGATTGTAGCTCACTTGTCCACCCTCGTACGACAGACTATCCCAGTACTCTCCGATTGCAAATGCTGGCTTTGTTGCTTCGATGTACTCCTTCACGTAACCACCCCAAAACCCCCTGTTCCAGTGTCATAAAAGGAGATGCTCGTCTTCGTGAGAGAAAAATAAGGACAAGCCTGCTCCCACATGAACCAACTTACATTTTACTAGCACAGAATATGTAGTCGAGAGATAGTAGTCATAAAAGAGAATGTTTGGACCTGACAAAGTCGAGCCGCCAGCCATCGAATCCGAATTCAGTGCGCAGCCACTGCATCCACTCCATGATGTCCTTGCGAACGAACTTCTGGGAATGGTCGACATTTGGAGCAGCATGAAAAAAGTCCCCTGCACGGTTTGACCCAGGAATATGCTTAATACGAGCATCGAAAAACATTTTAATTCAACACGCAAACACTTGGGTTCCAATATAAATCCTGTATACGTGATGAGTGGCCCGATCAACTATCGAACAGGGTAAGGTTTAGCCCAGAGATTCACAAGTCGTTATCAAACTTACCGCTCTTAGGATTTCCCCGCCCTTGAAAATTGGGATCATCCCCTACAATAGCCTCAGGTCCCCACGCGAGCTTGCCTCCGAATATGTTCCATACTCCATTAGGACTCTGGTGATCATAAACGTCAAAGCTACGCAACGTCAGTTCATATAGAACTGAAATTCAGGATTCTACACCAACCTACTGCCGCAATTCAGACCTCTTTTGGTTCGTTCACATCATCTAAACACTACATGTATTCCTCAATGAGTCAAATTAGCTTCAAAGTCAGGGAGAATCTTGACGTTCTCCAACACCCTGCATTACCTGCTTCTGTGCACAACGATGATTAAGAACTACGTCTCCAAGAACCTGAAGTCAGAGAAATGTCGATGTGAGAAATCTGGGATAGAACTAGTGAAATGATGACCCACTCCTTCTAACAACATTGTAGAATAAACAATTCCAATTTGTGAATACTAAAAATAGCATCACAAGGAATTAAGAGATATAATTTGGACAACTTACAAGGATTTTATGCTTATGCATCTCATTTATACATAGTTTCAGTTCCTCCGATCCTCCATAAGCTGAATTCAAGTTGTAGAGATCACCTGGCATGTAACCTGCAATAATCTCCTCAGCACATGACAGTTTTATTAAATTGGAAATCTGACACATGTGAAAGTATTTCGCATATCTAATTACAGCAGCTGAGACAACTACAGTTGGCCAACTGTCATTACTTTCTGCTTCTCATACAGGATAGCCCACCCAGGCTCACCTGCCTCGGGTTTAATAAGAGTAATTGTTACAGTAGGCAGAGATACTAAGGTGTAATTTTCATGTTCTTAATATTTGGCAGCAGGGACAAGCACAGGTGACGTGGGCATTAGCTACCTTGAGGGGCGACGGATTGAGTGGGTGGAGGAAGCCAGATTGTGGTTATTCCACATTTTGCAAGATCCGAGGCCTTAGCTGACATCTCCAACCACCATTGCCGTCTCCAGCTCTCCCAGTTGAAACCTTGAAACTGACACAAGAAGCAATTCACGATATCAACACAGATGTCAAGAGTAGAGCATACAAGAGGCGAAACGATCGCAAAGATGTTAGTATAACAACACATATAGGAACATAGATGTTAGCAAAAGTCTGATAAACCAAGTGGATCAGAGTGAAAAGAGGCTTTTGAAAAAATTAAATCCTGATATATTTTCGGCCTATATGACGATGGAACAGCATAGGCACATACCACAATCTCGCGACCAGATCCAGTGCCAGATTCTGCACATACGCAAAATTAATAATTATCAACTGTCAAGGGGCAACCTTAGCGGCAAAACTGAAGAATCAAAGCAATGGCAGCAGATTGATGAAAGTAAAACAGGGTTGGAATCTTGCAGGTGACCTGTCTTTGACTCGGATTCTTCAGGATACCTCACAAGGGTTCTAAGGGATTTTGTCTGAAGAGCTCTTTCCAAGGCATTCCGTTGCAAGTCAAGTGCTTCCTTCTCTGCTGCTCGCACGGTGTATTTGTCATCTTCCTTTACCTTCGACTTCGCAACGTCCCAAACATCCTCGGGGGTAGGCAATTCCAAAGGGATCGCCGCATCAATGTCGGCGGTTATCGAAGTAGGTTGCATTGGTGGCAAGTTTTGCTGCCCTGTCTGAAGGCGCCGTTTCATCCAGTCCGGAGTTTCCCGTCTAGGTCCATTTTCAAGAAGGTCTTTGATTTTTGCATCACTACCTGGAAGCATTTCAAGGCGACCTATATTTGGCGGTAGAAGGTCAGGCACCGGACTACTACTATCAATCTCAACCCCATTTATTCTGGATTGCCTCAGTAACTCCTCAGCCGTAAGCGCTCTGTTCCTCCAAGCAGCCGCCGCACCCTCTGCAGCTACCAATGATTTCTCTAAAGATTCGCATCTGCCAAAGTTAAAACAGTGGACATGTAATCAATATTGGAGTTGGAAAATGGTTTCAAAAAAATCAAGACATAAAATGAACATCATTTACCTGGACTTTATGACAAGTCTGCGAGCTTCACTAGCTTTGTGAGATGCATCGTTTGCACTCCGAAGGGCATCTGCCTCAGCTTCAAAGGCGACCTTGTCGGCCACTTGCCTTGCTTTCGCAGCTTTCTTCACTGCGTCGATTGCAGTCAATGCACTGGCCTCACGCTCATCCGCTGCTTTGCTAGCAGCTTTTTGTACCTCAATAATAGTCTTTTCCGCTGCTTCAGCCCTAGCTGTCGCAGTTTTTATGAAAGATTGAACTGCGTCAAGCTCAATGCGTACACGTTCTGTTTCTCCATTTGCAATTTGCAACTGTCGACCCGCAGCAAGGAGAGCCTCTTCCAGTACTAGCATCTTCGCTTCAATCTCTGCCAATTCATTTAAGACATTCACTTGTTCGTTTAAGAGTGCTTCAGATTTAGCAGCCTGAGCTTTAGCTACTTTAGCGGCTGCCCTGGCTTCATCAATTGCTACTTGAGTCTCCCCAGCAACGGCAGACGCGGCTTCATCTACTGCCCGTTGCAACCTTTCCTCAAGCTGGAGAACAGCCTCAGCAGCTGCGGTTTCAGCAGCAGCCACTTTCAACGTGGCATCTTCCGTTATGCGAGCAGTAGCTTTTTGAATCGCAGCCTCTGAAATTTTTTCTACCTGCACGGCGAGACTAATGCCATCTGCATCGTCGTTCCCTCCCTTAAGCTTGATCTGTTTCATATTGCGAGAGGTCTTGACAGTGTCTGATGATTTTCCCTCCATGGCTGTCAAAGCCTCCAAGGCTTGCTTCTCAGCTTTCTTTGCAGCATCAGCTCTAGCTTCGGCAGCGGCCAGAGCAACTTTGAGGGACTCAACATCGTCTGGAATTTGGAATCCTCTACTACCATTGTTATTCTCACCCTGCAAGCGTAACAGTGAAGCCATCACTACTCCCTTCAAGAAGAAGCAACTTTACACCTTCCCACTTCCATGCTGGCAAGGACATAAAACTCACCTTGAGAACGGAAACAAAAACACGGCCATGCCAAATTCGTCGAAGTGCTTTGGTTGTGTTTACATTCCTAGACACCAAAACCCTGCAAAAAATTAAGTTACGGACTAGTTAAGCATCTGCTCTATGTGCACATTCTAACGATGGATTGCCAGGAAGACGTGGATATTGACATGTAAGAGTGTTAGAATAATCGCTTGTCCTCCATACCTCTCACCAAGGAATGGAGTTTTTATGGTCGAATTGTTATTGTTTGATCCAGCGCAGTGGTATGAGGAAATCAAATGAATGCTTGGTGAAGTGGATTGGAACTCCCCACGCCCTATTGGCAGTAGGTGTCCCGACACACCCGCAAGTGAACGGGTCAAAATGGTATCCTGCATAGGATTCAAATCACATCATGGCTGGAGTCAAAAACCGACATATAGAGTAAATTGATGCTTCACAATACTCAAGAAATTGAGCAATTGTAGAGCTTCTAAGCAGGCAGCGACTCAAGATCGTAGATGCACACAGAACCACGAGATCCTGACAACAGAACGTTTCAATTAAGTGTTCATACCCAGCGTAAACAAGAATGTTTGTAACAAAAATAACTAAAGGTAGCAATGAAAAAGTACCATTTCCGGTTGTTTTTTAAGGTCAGCCCCAGCTGGAAACAAAGAATATGCTCAAGGCCGCCAAATGCAAAACTTCCAGAGTATCCCTCGTGGTTCCTCACACACTCTCTTGAAAGTAAAGAAATGCATCGTGGTCAAGGAGAAGGCATGGTCATTTCTGCACACCCAATAGCGTATAATCAATTAGCTCAACAAAAATTCTCAATCTTCCACCTCTAGATTCAGATTACGATACCCCAGACATGACCTCCTTCTCTAGCTCTCTCTCTCTCTTCCCCTCAACCCCTACTATGAGTACCGCCTATTTTGTTTCCTTTCCTGCAATTCAAATTTCGATGGCTGCTTCATCTCAGTCAATCTCAAAAAAATATGGCAGCAAACGGACTTTCACCCCACCTTGTACGACTACAATCCGTTGTATGATAGGACCTTCATTCTGCTAAAGCCTACTACTAGATCATACTACTTCATCGTACTAAATCCTGATAGAGATCGTTCGACACAGCAGTGTTTCGCTAGAACGATCGAAACAAGGTGGTATACATATTCTTCTCATATATCTAGTCACCTCAACTTTCTCCCACCAAAGACTAGATGAACGAACAACATTGACTCCACTGTTGAGAATTCGAATACCACCCTGCAGTGAATTCCAAAGGCAAAAGGAGAGAAAGTACAAAATGGACTTCAGTCAGCATCAATCCATGCACACCCATTACACTTCACACTGCAAATACCAGCAAGAGACATCCGACAACAAGGTTCAAACATGGAAATTATACCACTTCGCCCATTCAATCAGTTACTGATGCCTATCTAATCGAAAATGGAGCGGCAAGGAAAAAAAAAAAAAAAAAAAAAAAGCAAAAACGAGAGTCCCACTGTGAATTATCTTACACTTGTGGACATCCCCCTCAAGACACCAGCTCCAGAACCCAATCGGTTGCGAGATGATGAATACAAAAGACCTTGCAGGATCCAAGCTCTCTTGTTTGCTCTTTTCAAGACAAATAAAGTGCGGAAAGAGCAAGAGACCCACATTTGCGTCCGAGCGCACTCGTGGAAAGTATCCAAGGCATCTACACCAATGCCTCGCCTGCAAACCGCTACAAGAGCGCCATGCCATCCAAATTACGTCTTCGACGTTCTGATCAGCTAGTTCATTCTCACTGCGCCCCCTACCCCGCACACTATTAGGGTCTGTAAGTTAAAATCAAATTGGGCCAGTCTCACACACTCTAACCGAATCTCTAATATAAAAAAATCGTCGTATCGCTGCGGGAAAAGTGGATCCCACGTCTGCTCGCAGCCGGCGCCATCCTTGTCTCAATCCACAGGACCCCTGAGGTCTATCACCGTGTTCTCGCGGCCAACAGAAGCTTCCATCGTAACGTCTTGTTAGTGTTTCCGGACTCCCGTGAATGGATGAATATCAGATCCACCCACATAGCTCTTTTCTTCAGTACCTTTTCCGGTTCATTCTTCGAGCACCGTCGGAGTGCAGTACTTCCTATCGCAAGATTGTGTTCAACTACCGATTCCACTGTCACAGATATCTCAGATCTTCCAGAAGTATGCGAAGCTGTTCACGTTCTGCTCAATTATCTTCTTTATGGTTTCTCAAGTAGCGATGGTTTGCGGGGCGATTTGGTGATTTCCAGGCCAGCAAGGTGTGGGGTCTAATTAGGGGTTTAGCAACAAAGTTATGGGTGTTGTGGACATTCCAATACTTTGCAAGAGAAACGGTGTTGAGCGTGAATGGCGTTGCTGTCTCCTTTGGGTGTGAAAAAGTGCTGGTCGCACTGGTGGATTCCTAAGTTAGCTGCAGCTGAATCACCACTCTCAGAAGGTAGAGTGCTTCAGATACTAACTTCTAGCTGGATGTTACCGTGTTCTCTGGGGTCTGGCAGTGTCTGCACCTTCCGTACTCGAAATTTGCTTGCATTGCAGGAAAGGTCATAAGACTTTGTTTGTAAAATCCGGCACTGTTTTGTATCAAAGGCTTAGGGTTTAGGTTTGAAACTCTTAAACTCTATTAGGAGGGCCTCAGTAGGGCCAATTGACCGGAATCACAGGATTAAAAGCACCTTGAAGTCGATTTTCTAGCACCGCTAATGTTCATCGTTTGTTGTTTTCAATTCATGATTCGGCATAAAGTCGATCCGCTGGAGTCTTGCGCACTTGATCTTACAATTTCGTCGGTGCAATTGTGATGCCCTGTTAGGTTTGTAGCTTTGACATGAAAGATCCGTAAACAGCGATTTAAAACCTCTTACTCAGCTCTTTCATACCGCCTTTTGGATGCAGTTATCTCCACGAGCTCAGTAGTAAGAAAGCACGCAGCACTCTTCCGGGCCAGGAAATGTGAAGAAACTTAGGTAGCAGCAGCCAGCTCACTACCTAATCGCATTTTTGCTCATGTGTGATTGGTTCATGAGCACATATTCTTTGTATTCCAACATAGTACATTTTCATTGCTAAAAAAATAACAAGTTCTGTATAATAAGCAACCCTGACTTTTGAGTTAAATTTTTTACATCCAGACATGTCTACTGCAATTTCTATCAGTGTCACATACTACAATTTGTAATTCAAGAATTTTCATTGCTCGTGGATAAAATTATGCTCCATTTGGTTAAATATTTAGTACTTGTGTGTAATATATATTTAAACCTTGAAAAAGCTTTGGCGCAAACATGATTTTTCACAAAAAGGATATACAATGCAACATAAACTTACACGCTTCATATGACAACTAAGCATATCTATGCATGTGTTATTAGGTCGAATTTGGCCACACGAAATAATTAAACTCCAGCGTGGACTCCCCAACACTACAGCTCATAGTGTACAAGATCTTTTAACAGTCCCTTCTCAACCAGAATATACATTGTCGTACATACGAGAGTGAGGTTCTCTTCACAACCAAGTGTAGCTATAAATGAGAGAATTAACAATCCTTCCAAACGGACGTTCAAATGAAGTACTAAGAGAAATTCAGTTGGTTTGTGTACCAGCTCCGATGAAGAGTGGTGGAGCTGCCAGTACTTTGCAAAGTTAACACAAAACAGTGAATTTGCCACCTCTTTGCAGGGACTGTCACAGGGCATCGTATATTGCTCTGTCTCCCAGTGCTAAGGTTACTGGGTCTATCAATGTCCAAAACAGAGTCTGACCACCAAAGAACAAAACTAAACCCTTGGAAACATGATTCATAATGCTTCCCTTCAAGGAAAATCTCGAAAATTCTCAATTAAATCAACGATATTACTACAGTAATTATTCCATCTACTTCTTGGCGGATTCCAATTAAGAAGCTGCAGCCTCTTCTTGCCTCCCTCTTCTGTAAATGCAATGAGGCAGTCGCATAAGGCGCCTCCCGCAAAACAAAGGACCCGGTTCTGTCCATGGATCTATTTAATAACATTCGCATATTCATGATATAACAGGTTGTTGGTGAAAAGGTGATTGTGCCCCTAAATATTCGACTTCAAAAGTCATCATTACAACCTCCTCCAACAGAAACTAGTAATAAAACTTTCTCTGCTTCCATCATGGTCAATTTAGGCAGATAAAAGAGCCCTTCAGAACTGGCCAACTGATGATGACGACTCTACCAACTACAATGTTGAATTGAATTGGTGCTATCTTCAGAAGAATAGGTAACTCATGATCCCAATCAGGTAAATTCCACCCACAAGTGCTCCATAGTACCCCTAAGAATGATAAAAACAAAATGTAGTGAACCGCTCCTACCCTTCTAATCCAGTTTCACTTAAGAGAAAACAAGACCCAACCCGGAGCAGAATGCTTCAGTCAAACCTACTGTTGAGCACACTGAATGCGTGGCCCAGAGGACTCCTCATCCTCATCGTACGCCTCCTGCTGTTGTTGCTGCTTCCTTCTCATCTCGTCCTCAATGTTCACGTCGATTAGTGTAGTTTCCTCACACTCGTCGAGCTCCATGTCTGTCATTTGACTAGTTGGTCTAGGAGGTAGAATAACTTCTAAGGCTTTCAACTGCTCCGGCGTCAATGCACCAGATTCGGGAAATTCGACACTAAAGTGCAAATATAGCCTACCCTTCATGAAAGGCCTCTGATAGTGTGGCATACCCTCATCATTGATAGCCTTAAATTGACCTGCAAATCATAAAATCAAATACGTCAACAGACTATTGCACAAGATTATGTTCTTCTGTACCAATGAAAAGAGACTATAAATTGCATAATACTAATTAACACCAAGACTGAACAAGGTAGATTATAGACCATAAGCCACTGATCAAAACCTTGTAACAGAGTTTAATAGATGGTTCAAGCACCTGGTTTAACAATCTCTCCAGGATTGGACTTAATTAGGAGCTGCCTTCCATCCAAGTGGGTCAAAGGAAATTGGAAACCGCACAAAGCCTCCGTCAAATTCAAAGAGTGCTCCACGAACAAATCATCCCCTTTTCTCTTGAACTTTGGATGATCCTTCAATTGCAACACGAACACTATGTCTCCAGTCACTGTGTCAGGCTGCACACAATACAGATGACAAACAAGATCCAACTATGAGCGTTTTGTCAACGAAATATCCTCTTCTAATATGTCAAACCTAAGGCTCCCTCGACGCACAACTATATCCAACACCATCTCCGGATTGTTTTCTAGTAGCAGGACAACACCCTAAACCCACAATCCTACATGGGGATGCTACAAGAACGCGTACCGCCTCGTCAGCCTCGCCTTGAAAAGTGATCTTCTGCCCATGTACCATGCCCTTCTCAACGTGCACCTCCAACATTTTCTTGTCCTGCACCACCTTCTGACCCTTGCACTGCCCACACTTGTCCTTCTCGTTGATTGTCTCACCTGAGCCTCTGCAGTCGGAGCAAACGTGCTGCATCTGCTGAATCATGTTTGGACCCAGCTGACGGATTGAGATCTTCATCCCTGAACCTTGACACCCTGCACACCGACTGGATGCACCCGTCTTGGACCCTTTCCTGCACGATTTGTGTAAATAATGTTACGTTGTGAAGCGTGAATTCAAGTTCAAAATCAAGGTGAAACTGAAACCTACACCAATGATGATCGGATACATCACTGCTGACACGAATTCAGCATATGAATCGAAAGGAAATTCACTTCAACACCCCGGCGTGCATACACAAGAGAATTCAAGGTATTGAACAACTAGACATTCATCCGGTATTGAGAATGACATCCTGCTACACGAACAGTTAAATGTAACACATCCCTGTCTAAACCCAATTGATTCTAAAGAGCTTGCGTAACAACCTCCCAAACACTGTGAGACAAGAAGATTTCAGAGCTGAGCCTTCTGCCAATTCAACATACTAAAGCTACAGATGAGTCAACATTACAGATCAGAGTAAAACAAGTGCATTGCTGAGGATCATGGCTTCTGTGATTTTTCTACACATAGCAAGAAACTTTCGAATTGCCCGAAGAATTTTACGCATGTTACAGTAACCAGATGAATCTACAGTTAGAACACGTCAGGGGTAACTGGACCAGACACCACTACTGTATTTAAGACTCGCAAAACGCGCATGGCGCTAGGCGCGAAACCCAAAACCGTTTCGTGAAGATTTGACATGCCATGTATTTAAAATAAAAAAGTAAAAAAACTATGAACTCTCCTAATAACCTCTGACCAAGGAGAGGGAATTGACCGTGGCAAGGTGCAGACGAACTCATTATATGATTTTTCACACTAAAAAAGCAATGCACAAGTGTCTGTAGCGTCACAAGCTCGAACAGTATCGTCCAATCATGGAATCCAGCCTAATGCAAAGAGCATCGATCCTTACCCTTTGCACTTTTGACATAGGACATTTCTAGACAAAAAGAGCTTCTTCGATGTGCCGTTGTAGAGATCATCCAGCGGGACCTTCAAGGGATGCACGACATCTTCTCCTCTCTTCTGACGTCTGCTGCCCCTGCTACTGCCGCCTGTAAAAATCGAAAACTAAAAATTGAGAATGCTTTACCCCGGATCACTTTAGTTCCAGATTTTGAAGAAAACTCGCAGAAAACTACAACTTGTAACTCTGATGCCAGAACATTTCGTACCTCCAAACGGGCTGCTGCCACCGCCGAAGAACGACTCAAAGATGTCGAAGGGATTGTGTCCACCACCTCCTCCTCCACCCATTCCTTCTTTAAGTGCATCTTCACCATATTGATCATATATATCACGCTTCTCAGGATCACTCAAAACTTCGTAAGCCTGAGCAAGTTCCTTAAACTGCAAGCATACATAAACGTCTCAGCCCTCCAGAGAATTAAATCCCAAGTTCAAGTCCCTCTCTCATACCACAGTACACGAGCTTGCAGCCATGTCTACACCCACAACTAAGGTGCCAGCCACCATCACAGCATGTGTAGTACGTTGGGATGGAAAGAAAAACTCTTGAGACCTGTGAGTTAGGGACCGTGCTACACAGAACACAATCCACCCCCGAAATATCGGCACTGCCGAGACAATCAGAGACTTTCCACACGATGTACGCAACGATGACACGGCATCACACTTCCAATCTTAAACCCGCTACACTCTAATGTAGACTACGTGACAGCAACATGCACTCAGCTTCAAATCGCGAGCAACTCTACCTTCTCTGGATCTCCGCCCTTGTCAGGATGATTCTTAATTGCTGCTTTCCTATACGCTTTCTTGAGTTCATCCTGCGACGCGCTCTTGGGCACCCCAAGCACATCATAATACTTGGAGTTATCACTCTTCCTCGAAGGCATACGCCCAAACATGGCTACAGACTTCCTGTGTTTGTTCTCTACAGATTTGCACTAAGACTCTCCAGAGCTCCACACAACACAACAGCCCCAACTACTGCTCCCTACAAACTCCGCCTCAGAGCCGTAGTGCTCAAACCTCCGGAACTAAACCGAACCGTGGAATTTCAATGAAACCACGACGGAGTTGAGGCATCAACGCGCCCCACACACCATGGGCGTTGACCGTGTGTTGTGCAGCGCCCAAAAGAAGCAATCCTCGCGCGAGGACAGCTGCTCTGGTAGCGCTACCACACGGAGAGAATAATAATAATAATAATAACAATTGAAGAAATAATAATAACAACAACAACAACAAAAACAACAAGAAGACAACATCAACCCTAATTTTGTGACTAGATCCTCTTTCACACCGCCATTCCGGCCTTCATCGGGCCGAGATGGACGGTGGCGATCGTGCCTTGCCGTCTTAATTGTGGTCCAAACAATGCCAATGCTGACTGGTCAGTCTGTTCATCCTGAAATCATCGTCGAAAATTGGATGATATTCGTTATTATCGGACAGAATAAGCGAGTGGACCCTCTCGGTTCGCGATTCATGCTTGTGGGGGCATCATCCCTACTCGGGCGGGAGTGGGAGGCAGAATCGATGCAACAACGGAGTCATATTTTGTGCAATCGATCGATCGTAGACTTGGCGGCGGCGTAAAGTAAATATCTCCACACACGAGTTTGGAACTACCGGTTGGAAAATTGGTTGAAGAAGAAGAAGGTCTGTGATAGATGCAGATATCCCTTGAAATAGTCTCTCGAATTTCTCGTTTTTCGCTCATCGTCCCACTGGCCTTGCAATATCTGGGATGTATCTGTTGCGATGCTTGGATGTTGGTGAGCTTCTGAAAGTACCGCTTACGATCCACATTGGACTCCACACTCTCAGTGCATAATAACTTGGAACCAACTCCAAGTACATGTGTAGTATTGGGAGAGGAGGAGTTCATATGATTGACAGCCATTGAGAAGAGCACGGATTTTGAAAGTAAAGTGGAGTTGAGGTTGTTGTTGACAATGTGAAGGCTTCGTGCAGAATCCAAGGGGTTAAGAACTTTGCACTTGAACTGCATGCTGGACAATTTCAGGGAATAGATTTCTCAGCTTGATCCTAGCAACTTTGATCCTAGCAACAAAGAAAATCAGACTCACAATGACGCAATGGGCACAGATTCTGAGTAGTGTGTAGGTGACTTTTAGGTTTTCAGTACTTGCGGACTTTGACCAGATCTGAGTACACCACCGTGCGAGGACGATGCCATGTACGTGGCAAGATGTAAGTTCACTTTCAAGATGGATTCGAGAGTCGGAACGAAGTTATTATACAACTTTCTAATCTTCTACCACCCTCAAGTAGTCCACGAGCCATTCTTCCTTGAAAGCTGGTTGAGAAACATGAAATCGACTTCCCTGCAAGATATGTGGGGCACTCGCGACCTTCGACTATAATCGCTCTTTGTTGAGTATTTTCCGAAGTTCAGTAACAGTGGACGGTAGCCTTTGAAAATGCTGAATTGTCCTTTCGCGTGCAACCACACCTTATCAAATCTTCAGGGGTGAGGCAAAAAGAGACTGACAACGAGAAGGCACACAAGTCAAAAGAAAAAAGAAAACACTGTTCTACTTCATATGGTTTCCTTCCACGAGTAACTGCTAAAATCACAAATGGCCCGCAAGAACTGTGAATCGTGCTCCAGTGCAATTAATCGCCGCAGCAACGAAACCAAAAGTAATGTAGGGTGACATCCAGAGAAACGGCAGGATTCGGAACAATTGGGAGAATAATCTGAAATGTATTCGTATTTCCATCATTAGGATCAGCAACGCTCAATGAGCAGTATCGTTGTCAACTAATCTTATAGCCATCCTACAAATTTCAAAACCATCACCTTCTTAATCCATCACCCTACCATCTAATTTTAACGAAGGACATGGATTGGAAAATTGAGTAGAGTAATCTTAATTAACCATGACCTCCATCTCTAAAGTTAGCTCAGCGCCTCTATCAAGTATACAGATTCTATTGTTGTGCACATTGAGTACGAGGACCTGATGATTCCTCGTCCTCTTCATAGGCTTCCTGGGCATGGGTCTGCTTCCTCCTCATTTCCTCATCGATATTAACATCATGAAGTGTGGTTTCTTCACATTCGTCCAATTCCATGTCTGTCAACTGGTTAGTCGGTCTCGGCGGAAGTACTTCCTCTAGAGCCTTGATTTGCTCGAGCGACAAAGAACCGGATTCAGGGACATCAACTGAGAAATGTAGGTACAACCTGCCTTTCATGAATGGTCTTTGATAATGTGGCATACCCTCGTCATTAATAGCCTTAAATTGACCTGCGAAGGCACCAAGACACAACAATCAAGTTTGTTACCGGTACTTCCTCAGCAAATCACCCTTGCTAGCGACTTATCAGTAACTGTAGTTAACATAAATACAGAGAAAGTAGAAAATAGAAAAAGGCAATGAACTCTAGATGATAACGAGCATATACAATACCTGGTTTAATAATCTCTCCAGGGGTGGACTTTATTAGAAGCTGTCGTCCGTCAAGATGTGTAAGGGGGAATTGGAAACCGCACAGAGCTTCGGTTAGGCTCAAACTGTGCTCCACAAACAAATCATCGCCTTTTCTTTTAAATTTAGGATGCTCTTTCAATTGCAAGACAAAGACGATGTCGCCTGTGATCGTGTCAGGCTGTACAAATAATAAGATTTAAAGAGCGTTAGATGAGATTGTTTCATGCAGCAAACATGTAGGAGAACATCTAGCAGAACCGTCCACAAGTGCCGCACCAAATGCAGATGCGCGTTATACAATTGCTAGAACATACCGCTTCATCAGCTTCGCCTTGGAAAGTAATTTTCTGCCCATGCGCCATTCCTTTCTCGACATGCACTTCCAACAATTTCTTATCCTGCACAACCTTTTGTCCCTTGCATTGTCCGCACCTATCCTTTTCAACAATTGTTTCGCCTACAATCGCGATGAACTAAATTAGTTGACTCCTAAAGCTCAAAACGTCACGGGCAATGCGCCAATCACCACAAGGAACCATATCTTTTATTTATGAAAGAGACGGATAAAGAACGAAAGAGAGAATAAAATGTCTGGAGGTTGGAGGTTGGAAAAAGTCATGCTTACCAGATCCTTTACAATCGGGGCAGACGTGTTGCATCTGCTGTATCATACCAGGGCCGAGCTGACGCACTGAGACCTTCACACCTGAACCTTGACATCCTGCACACCGACTGGATGCACCGGATTTGGAACCTTTCCTGCAAATTCCGAGAAGCAGTTCGGGTACAGTGAGAAACTCTTAGAAACCACCAAGACCTAGTATCTAATGGGTTGACGTATCCCAAGTGACACGGGATAACAAGAAAAGCGGGAATTTTTCTTGATACTGAAATGAACCTTACGTTGAATGTTCCAATTAAGACATAATCTGTAACGAGATGCACAGCAACGAGCTTTACCCTTTGCACTTTGAGCAAATAATGTTCCTCGACAATGACAGTTTCTTTGATGTGCCATTGTAAAGTTCTTCCAAGGAGACCTTCAAAGGGTGAACAACATCTTCACCTCTTCTCTGTCGCCGGCTGCCCCTGCCACTGCCACCTGCAAAGTGCGCATCTGCCAAGTCAGGGCAATCATTCCAATTCAACTTAGATTTTAACATTAACGTGACACGGTGTGGGCTAGCGGTATTAGAACCTCTGAGACATGTGCGCCTGACTCAGGTCATGGGGGCTTAGACGCATACCTCCAAATGGACTACCGCCTCCGCCAAAGAACGACTCAAAGATATCAAATGGATTGTGTCCGCCACCGCCTCCGCCCATCCCCTCCTTCAGGGCATCCTCCCCATACTGATCATACAAGTCACGCTTCTCGGGATCACTCAAAACCTCATATGCCTGGGAAAGCTCCTTGAACTGCAAGAGCATCAACCATTAAGTCAGCAGTAGCTCCAGGAATTCAGCATCAAAAACATTAATTTTGAAGTTGCCACTCATAAATTGTATCTCAATGAGATCGCCCACGGCAGTCGTAAAAGTTGAAGGTCAATCCTGCTTCTTCAGAAGAAAAAAATGAAAATGAACAAGAGAATGAGACGACGCCCGAAATCGAGCCAAAACGAGGAAGCGCACGGTCAAGGTGCAGCAACCAAAATGCTCGGCCCCCACCTTCTCGGGATCTCCACCCTTGTCCGGGTGATTCTTGATTGCCGCTTTCCTATATGCTCTCTTCAGCTCATCCTGCGATGCGCTTTTCGACACCCCGAGAACATCATAATACTTCGTGTTATCACTCTTCTTCGGCATACGCCCGAACATGACTGCTGATACGTTACACAACCAATACCAAAACTCAAAAACTCTTCCACAACCCTTTCACGTCACGCACAACCCCTCTGTATCCTCCTTGTAAAAATACTCCTCCTCCTCCTCAAAATACAAAATGCAGCACTGGGGGGTAGCTTTCTCTCAAGGTCACAGGTGAAGCGTTCGTTCAACGAAGTCAATAAGGCCGATGTTCCTGAAGACGAAGTAAGACTGAATTGAGTGAGCGAGAGAGTGTGAGGAAGAGAGCGCGCGAGAGAGCGAGAGGAGCAGCACCCTAACAAGATTGGCAAAGATTCACCGTTCCATACCTTTTTCAGCACTGCGCGTCTTCTGGGGCCTTCCAGCCCCTTCTCTTCCCTGCCCTTCCCTTCCCCTGAATTCCAGACTCCCAGAAGCATCCAGACGCTCCCCTTCCACCGTCCATCCCCCAACTGGTTCCCTCGCCAACGGCCACGATTTGTCTCCTCTAACTGCTGAAAGGGTTCCTTCACCTTTCTCCATTCTCGCAACTCGAGGCCGTCGACGTATCCTCACCGTCCCTGATGGCCTCATCGGAGGGTCACCGCTTGCATACCCAAGAAGCAGACGAACACCCTAGAAGCCCGCATGGGTCCCACTTACACTCCGCCCGCCCTCGGACAGGTGTCACCGCTCCAGTCGGTCCTATTCTCCAATTCCCACTAAGAAGCTTCCTCAATCGAGTTTCAATACGTTCTGCAGCTTTGGTTTGATTACGAACGGATTTTGCGTTCACACTGTGGCGACCAAGTTGGTTTCGTTGCGGACCGCTGCCGCGTTCACACCGCTTCTTTCGTCGTTTCGTGAAGACAATTGAAACCCGGGATATTCGCCGACGGTATCGGATATTACTTTCCCTCGTGGGTACGATTTCTCGTGCGAGTGTGTAGGATACGGTACTCTATCGTACCGTATGTGTGATGGAAGGATCGAAAAGCGTATGATGAATGTGTATGTGACGTGTCATTACTTCAAATCAGCCTATTGTTGTTGTTGTTGTTGTTGTTGTTTAATGTTAAATTTTCAATCTTCTCGATTTTGAGATAGATTCCATTATTATATCTTTGATTTATAGCTGAATTATTATTGAAGTATCTGGAAATCAGATTTGAATTGTGTGATATGTGAAGTATGTGACAATAATCTTTGTTGTTGCATAATACCAAAGATGAGCTATTGTGGTAGCAACTAAATTTTTGTGAAGTTCACCTTCATTTAAAAACAATTATACATACATTTACAGATATATATATATATATATATATATATGGTGTTACTCATGTTACCATACGACATCCACACTCCTTATCAATATTAATATTTGTGATTCATGTCCTTGACAATTTATCAAGAATGCTAATTCAATATTTTTATTTTATTTTAGAAGTAAGTAGATTACTCCATTTCTTTTTTTTGGATTATAAAAGTTGCAAACTACCCACTCTTAAATTAACATTATTTATTTTCTAACATTAATTCTTTCTTTAAAGAAAATATACTATCTTTCTTTGTAGAAATTTTCTTTTTATATTAGAGCTAGTGAGTTACCATATTCTAATTTAATTAGTGGATTTGTAAAAGTTGTTTGTTACAAAGATCAAAGAAAAAATTAAGAATGCTATACTTTACAAAAATAAGAATAGAATTATAACTATTGTAAATTTTTATTAATTTGTCAACATTCTCAGAATAGAAATTATACATTTTATAAACATCAACTTTAGAATTACTATTCCTATGCCTATTAAGAAATAAAAAATGAAATTTAATGCCTATGTCAACAAATAATGCAATTTTAAAAAATAATTAGATCAACTTCACAATTCAATCTTAGAAGTCTTTCTACTATAAATATGAGAGAAAAAAGGATCAATACTAAAGAAGTATAATTGAACAAGATCAAAATTTCAAGGATTTTTATAACAAATCAAGCTTTATTTAAGATTGCATCCTTCTTAATATCCTAATAGATTTAATCAAGAAAATTTTATAAGCCTAATTCTATCTAGAAATATTCTCTTTTAGTTTGTATATTTGATAGAAAATAATTTAAAATTCTTCTATAATCTAAATTTATTCTTAAAAATATTTATAGCTTTATTTTTAAAAAATGATCAAAAAATGGTAGCCAATATCAAACTTCTATCTGTATAACAATGATAACGTTTAGCCACCATTTACATAATTAAATTCCAAAACCTTGCTTGTACCATGGATTGAAATGAAAAAGACTTTATTAAATAATTTTAATGAGGATTAAAAGATAATATCAATGACTTATCATAAAAGATAATATCAATGACTTATCATAAAAGATAATATCAAAGAGAAAGATGCAAGGTGCCTTTGGGATCTAATATATGCAAGTTGTGGCATTAGAGCTTCGATTGTAGGAGCTTGTAGTGTAAGCATATCATGATATAGGATTTTGGTGCAGTGCCTCTTATTGCAAGGATATTTAATGCTAGGTATTTGCCTTTTCTGCAAGGCAGTGTGACATAAGGATTTGGTACAAGTTGCAAGAAAAATAAGAAGGATCTACGGTGACAAGTGGCAGCAAATAGTGACATACAATGTTTGCTAATAGTTCAAAGTGTCAATCCATAGTTATAAGGCCATAATATTATATTATGTATGTTCTTGTTTAAAAATGCACTAGGCATTTAGTTGTAGAAGGTAAGTACAAATGCAACAACAATCCTAACAAGTCTAATAGAATATTTAATAAACTTCAAGTAAACCTTAATAATCTTAATCAAATTTTAATCAATTTAAAATAAATTTAAAAGAAGTTATAAAAAAACCACAAAAAATCGTAAATTAATTTTTTTAAAAAAACATGAAATTATAAAGAAATATAAAATTAATCTTTTAAAAAAATAATAATAATCTAAAAGAAATATAATAAATAATTTTTTTTAAAAAATAACAAAGAATCTTTAAAATATTAAAAATAAAAATTTTAAATGAATCTTAATTAAATTTTAATTTTATCCTAATTAGAATTTTAATGAATCTTAATCAAATCTTAATTGAAATTCTAATAGACTTTAAGTAAATCCTAAATCAAATCTTAATGAAATCCTAATAAAGTTTTAATAAAATCCTAAATCCAAGATCAACTCTAATAAAATTCTAGACAAATTGTAATAGAGCATGGACAAAATAATTATATTATTGATGCATAGAGATAGATAATTGGTACTATTTTTGAAAAGTTTTTAGAATTGAGGCCAAATTGGTGGTATATGTGGGGCCTACTATAGAACATCCTAAACAAATTAAAGGCAATTATCTAAATAGGGCCCATCTTTAGAACATTCTAAAAAGATACTTATTTAAGTGGGATCCATCTTTAAAATCTTCTAATAAGGCAGTTATTGTGGTGAAGTCTATTATTAAGGACATTCTAGAAAATTTATTATCTAAGATAGGTGGATAAAAAAAAAAAAATAGGACTAATCAAAGCCATTTTGGACATTCAGCTATATATGGTTTTAGTTCCTTTCTCTTAATAAAGTTTGATTTGTATTTTTTATTCTATTTTTTTTTACTTAATTTTGGTTTTTATGTTCTATTATGTTTAGTTCTTATCCAATTTGTCTTACTTTGTGATAGAATTTATATTGCTTTAGATTAGAAGGGAATTAGATCTTTAAGAGAATTCAATTCTATTTCATTGGTATCAAAGCAAATATTAGTCTGTTCTTTGATAATACAATAATAGCCATTGTCTAGTTAAAGATTTATTGTTGTAGTCATATCAATTATTATTTTGGGGCTACCACGACATACTTTTAAGAAATCAATTAGAAGGATAGAGCACGTTATGGTTGCAAAGTTTAGCAAGAAAATTACAGCATGGAAGATATGGTGGAGCCATCCCAAATGGAGGCTCAGATACAATACTTCCTATACCAAATAGCTACTTTGTAAGGAAAAATAGAAGCTTATAAGACAAAGAAGTTGATATTTGTTAGATTGAAATTAAGCAAGCTCGAAACATATTCTAGAACTTCAAGATAAGAAGATATATGCCAATAGCTCTTCATCATGCGACAATATCTCCAAGTATCTAAGGTAAGTACCATTCGAGGAATTATATATACAACTAACTATTTGAAAGGTGCGGCAGTCATTTGGTAGCAACATCAAGCTCAAAACTATAGAACTCAAGGTAGATTTTGTAACTAAGAAGAATTTGAGACCAAAGTTAGGAATCAATTTTAGTCGATCAATGTGAAGAATTTCAGTCCATTAATTTCAGTCCATCAATTACATCTTGATTGAGATTGTTGACTAACTTGGAATCAAAACCAAGGTGATCAAAGGAAGAAGTATATACTTAACTGATGACTAAGAAATCATATTAAATAAGACATTTGTAGAAAAAATCTTGAGGTTGAATGACACCTATGCCTTGAGAAAGAAGTTCAAGGTAATAAAACTTAGATATGATGTTATCTTTGGTATGCCATAGTTAGAGGTTGAAAATGGGTAAGTTGATTAGCTAACAAGAATAATCTCTTTCAAAGACAATGGATGTAAGATAATTTTTTGTGCCTTTGTATCAAGTAAGGTAACAAAATAATCTGCAACCAAATGATTACTTGTAGGAATGATTTTTATAGAGAAGCAATTATATAATAAGCAACCAATATATATGGTGGTTTCAAATCTTGTCTTAGTATTAGAAAAGACAATCAAACTTATATAGTGGTGTGCTATTTGATTAAGGTACCTTCTTTTAAATAGAATTATTGCATAGAGCCAAATTAGTAAGTTAGCAAATTTATTGTCTAGCACCAAATGAATTTAAAGAGTTGCAAAAGACATTGGAAGAATTCTTGAAGGAGGACCTTATTTAAAAAAGCATGTTGGCATAGAGAGCACTTGTATTCTTTGTACCTAAAAAAGATGGTGGACTTTGGCTTTGCATTGATTATCAAGGCCTCAATAAGCAAATTGTTAAGAAAGCATATCTACTTCCACACATGGATGTTCTTCTTGACCAACTATAAGGTGCAACCATCTTTAGCAAATTAGACCTATACAATGGCTATTAGCAGACATCTATTGCAAAAGAGGATATAAAATGGCATTTTGTATGTATTGCGGACATTTCAAATAGCTTATTTTACCTTTTGGCCTCACTAATACTCTAGCCTTCTTCATAGGATATATGAATAAATTATTTCAAGATCTTTTAGATAAGTATATAGTTTTTTTCATTGATAATATCTTAGTCTATAATAAAACCTTTAAAAAACATGAACAATACCTATAA